TTAGACAGCGCTTAGCGCTTTTAGACAAGTATATGCTCCGTTAGACTAGTTTAAGCTCCGTTAGACTAGTTTATTTAGACTACTTTATGCTCCTTTAGACTAGTTTAAGCTCTTTTAGACAAGTATATGCTCCGTTAGACTAGTTTATGCTCCGTTAGACTAGTTTAAGCTGTTTTTAGACTACTTTATGCTCCTTTTAGACTACTTTATGCTCCTTTAGACTAGTTTAAGCTCTTTTAGACAAGTATATGCTCCGTTAGACTAGTTTAAGCTCCGTTAGACTAGTTTAAACTTTTTTTAGACTACTTTATGCTCCTTTAGACTAGTTTAAGCTCTTTTAGACAAGTATATGCTCCGTTAGACTAGTTTAAGCTCCGTTAGACTAGTTTAAGCTATATTTAGACTACTTTATGCTCCTTTAGACTAGTTTAAGCTCTTTTAGACTAGTTTATGCTCCGTTAGACTAGTTTAAGCTCTTTTTTGACTAGTTTTAGGTCATTTAGACTATAGCTTGTGCGCCGTTAGACTAGTTTAAACACAGCGGTGTTTCCTTACTGAATGAATCCTCGTTTTTGAACGAATCGAGTGAGTCAACGATTCAGTAACCCATTCATAATGAATGAATCAGCCATTTGAACGAATCTGTTGAATGAATGTCTTTGCCGCCAACTATTGGTGGTTTGGTTTCATATTTATAAGTATCATTGCATTTTTCCCATCATTTCTGAATTGTATGTTAATAAAATGATTTAAAACATTAATCTTATAAAATTATTTATGCATTTGCAATTATGTGGTGTGAATGCATTTATGGCACCTCTCCGCTTCATCAAACAATCTGTGTAAATACATCTAATGCCACTTCAGATGCAGCTTCTGTGTTTCCTGCAGTGGAACGATGGAGTTTGTTGATGCTGATTTAATTTAAATGGTAACAACTCTACAGTTTCTTATTATTCTAACTGAATTAATTGAAACAATGTAAGAATTTGATGAGAAAGATGACACATTTAATCAGGTTAGGGGAAATAAATGACCATTTATAAACATAGTGGGAAATGACATCTGTTTTGTTTTACATACAGCAGCTCATTTCTTACACTTTCCAGTCACAGAGCACTTTATTTTGAGAGTTAAGTGAGAGAACTTTGTCCAGATTGGGGGAATTGTAATGTTTAATAATCGTGTGTTTCTGCAGGTTGATGAATAATAACCGTATTTCCACGCTGGAGCACGGCTGCTTCAGTAATCTGTCAAGCACGCTGCTGGTGTTAAAGCTCAACAAAAACCGTCTGAGCTCCATCCCACCCAAGATCTTTCCTCTACCGCACCTGCAGCACCTGTAAGTGACGCGCTCACATCAGTCTCATGCCACGGCGTGCCTGTTCCTGACCGCTGTGCTTGTGATTGACAGAGAGCTGAGCAGGAACCGCGTGAGGCGCATCGAGGGTCTGACGTTTCACGAGCTTCACGGCCTGCGCTCGCTGAAGATCCAGAGGAACGGCATCACGCGGCTCATGGACGGTGCTTTCTGGGGTCTGAACAACATGGAAGTCCTGTGAGTGGAGCGGACGCGTGACGTTTAATCGCTCATGCTTAATCCAGAACTCGTGTGTGATGTGCAGTGTTAATTTCGTTGACAAATAATTTTCGTCAACAATTTTTTCACTGACGACGACGAGACGATAACTAACTAAAACTCTTTTTGAATGACAAAAACTATGACGTAAATCTATTGACATTTTCGTCAACGAATAAAAACGAAACGAAAATGTTAGGGAGGGACGATTTGGGAAGAGATTCATTCAGAACGAATCTGCTGCGTGGTTACGAGGTTAGATGCGTACATATGAACCGGCGGGACATAAGCTAAAATACACGTCGCATAAAACGTTCAAAAATGTCAATATGTGGGAGTAAGAGAAGAGCAGACACATGGATAAATCTGACGACGCAAGAGAGAACTCAATTCGGTCCGGTTTTCTGAGCGCAGACACTGAAGCACACACACACAGAAAGCGCCTCTCACAGCGCGCGAGTAACGTTACTCTCTCGCGTCGCATGAACGGAGAATTACACACAAAATGATGTCGAATTGTCCGTTTTGATGAGTATTCACGTAAACACAGTTGATTACGTCTTAAGTGAACGTAAACAGCAGGGAGAACGTGTATCAGTACATTGCATCCGTTGCAGCTGTGCCTTCGGTTTTAAAGGGACAGCAGCCTAATTTAGTTGCTATTGAGTCATTGATGTTAATCAAGCAACAACAGAAAGACAGAAAATCACACACTGCTCTTGACTGAAAAACTTTAGTAGCCCTAAAGATTAATCTAAATTTATTTATAGAAATAAATATGTCTGCTTGAAAGAATGAAGAATATGGTAAACAAGTTGCTATAAAGAATGCATAATTAGCCGATATAATCATTGGTATTTCATTAAAAAGAAGACCATGTTCTTGTTCTTTATGAGAAGTGGTTTTATTTAATTTTAACATAAAGGCATGTTGTGTGTCACCGCAGTTAAATCATGATAAAACCTTAATATCAAACCTATATAATGAGTTTGGAAATTGTAGAGAAATGCTTAATAAATGCATTACACTGTAACTAAACCCATTTTTACTGTAGATTTAGTCAACTAAAATTGTATGATATTTAGTCGATTAAAACTAAAAAGATGACTAAAATATGACTAAAACTAAATGGCATTTTAGTCAAAAGACTATGACTAAAACTAAATCAAAATTTGCTGTCAAAATTAACACTGGTGATGTGTGTTTGTGTGCGCGTGTGTGTGTGTGTTTGTGAGCAGGCAGCTGGAGTACAATAACCTGACGGAGGTGAGCAAAGGCTGGCTCTACGGCCTCCTGACGCTGCAGCAGCTGTATCTGTCACACAACGCCATCATCCGCATCAAACCCGATGCCTGGGAGTTCTGCCAGAAACTCGCCGAGCTGTGAGTCTACAGATGCTCTCTTCCTCACCTCTCTGTCTAATCTAGGGCCCTATGATTTCCGTGATGCGGAAAACACGGATGGAATCCAGTCATAAAAACGGAATTTACTGTATAATGCGGAATGTCACAGAATTTGCCAAATTTTAGACTAATAAATCAAAAGTAGGTCAGTTCACTTAAATCAAAACGCGACATGGATCTGAGAATATGAATCCTGCATGTTCTGTGTGCCTCTGGTTTCATTTACTACACACATAGTGAGGCGCACGCGATGCTCGTGGTGTTTTCAGCCTCAATATATGAGTTAATGAACACATCAACATAATCTCTAAAACTGCTCTGAGAGTCACTTCATGAGCATTTCATGTGTTTCATTTGAGAAAAACTAGATCAGAAACTAAAAGGTCTTCACAGCAACCCATCAAAATAAGAGTTTGTTTTAACCTAAAGAAACTGTGACAAATATATTACTTAATGTAATGATAGTAGTAGTACTACTACTACTACTACTAATAAAATTATTATTTAAACATTATTTTTTAAGGAATAATCACACAATTTTTTTCCCATGTTTTAATTTTAACCATAAACCTGTGTTGTGCATCACTTTGTTTGCCAAAAACGGAAGGGTTTGATTAATTTTCATTTGATTAAAAGATAAATTAATGTTTTATGCCTTCTAGAAAACAACCTTTTTTAATAACAGATGCCGTCGGTTCAGGATTGATATAATGGATAAATAATGATGTGTTTTTGGTCATTAAATGAATATGTGTTTATAGGAAGGAATTTTAATTTTCTTTTATTGTCTTTTTTTAAATTCTATTATTGTTATTAATTCATATGTATTCATTTAGCAAAAATTAGTAAATGCACTCTCAGAAAAAAAGGTACAAAAGCTGTCACTGGAGCGGTAATTTTTTAAAAGACACACCTTTGTACCTAAACAGTCCATATTGGTACCTTAAAGCTACATATAAGTACCTAAACAGTCCATATTGGTACCTTAAAGCTACATATAAGTACCTAAACAGTCCATATTGGTACCTTAAAGCTACATATAAGTACCTAAACAGTCCATATTGGTACCTTAAAGCTACATATAAGTACCTAAACAGTCCATATTGGTACCTTAAAGGTACATATAAGTACCTAAACTGTCCATATTGGTACCTTAAAGATACATATAAGTACCTAAACAGTCCGTATTGGTACCTTAAAGGTACATATAAGTACCTAAACAGTCCATATTGGTACCTTAAAGGTACATATAAGTACCTAAACTGTCCATATTGGTACCTTAAAGATACATATAAGTACCTAAACAGTCCGTATTGGTACCTTAAAGGTACATATAAGTACCTAAACAGTCCATATTGGTACCTTAAAGGTACATATAAGTACCTAAACTGTCCATATTGGTACCTTAACGATACATATAAGTACCTAAACTGTCCATATTGGTACCTTAACGATACATATAAGTACCTAAACTGTCCATATTGGTACCTTAACGATAGAGTATTCACGTAAACACAGTTGATTACGTCTTAAGTGAACGTAAACAGCAGGGAGAACGTGTATCAGTACATTGCATCCGTTGCAGCTGTGCCTTCGGTTTTAAAGGGACAGCAGCCTAATTTAGTTGCTATTGAGTCATTGATGTTAATCAAGCAACAACAGAAAGACAGAAAATCACACACTGCTCTTGACTGAAAAACTTTAGTAGCCCTAAAGATTAATCTAAATTTATTTATAGAAATAAATATGTCTGCTTGAAAGAATGAAGAATATGGTAAACAAGTTGCTATAAAGAATGCATAATTAGCCGATATAATCATTGGTATTTCATTAAAAAGAAGACCATGTTCTTGTTCTTTATGAGAAGTGGTTTTATTTAATTTTAACATAAAGGCATGTTGTGTGTCACCGCAGTTAAATCATGATAAAACCTTAATATCAAACCTATATAATGAGTTTGGAAATTGTAGAGAAATGCTTAATAAATGCATTACACTGTAACTAAACCCATTTTTACTGTAGATTTAGTCAACTAAAATTGTATGATATTTAGTCGATTAAAACTAAAAAGATGACTAAAATATGACTAAAACTAAATGGCATTTTAGTCAAAAGACTATGACTAAAACTAAATCAAAATTTGCTGTCAAAATTAACACTGGTGATGTGTGTTTGTGTGCGCGTGTGTGTGTGTGTTTGTGAGCAGGCAGCTGGAGTACAATAACCTGACGGAGGTGAGCAAAGGCTGGCTCTACGGCCTCCTGACGCTGCAGCAGCTGTATCTGTCACACAACGCCATCATCCGCATCAAACCCGATGCCTGGGAGTTCTGCCAGAAACTCGCCGAGCTGTGAGTCTACAGATGCTCTCTTCCTCACCTCTCTGTCTAATCTAGGGCCCTATGATTTCCGTGATGCGGAAAACACGGATGGAATCCAGTCATAAAAACGGAATTTACTGTATAATGCGGAATGTCACAGAATTTGCCAAATTTTAGACTAATAAATCAAAAGTAGGTCAGTTCACTTAAATCAAAACGCGACATGGATCTGAGAATATGAATCCTGCATGTTCTGTGTGCCTCTGGTTTCATTTACTACACACATAGTGAGGCGCACGCGATGCTCGTGGTGTTTTCAGCCTCAATATATGAGTTAATGAACACATCAACATAATCTCTAAAACTGCTCTGAGAGTCACTTCATGAGCATTTCATGTGTTTCATTTGAGAAAAACTAGATCAGAAACTAAAAGGTCTTCACAGCAACCCATCAAAATAAGAGTTTGTTTTAACCTAAAGAAACTGTGACAAATATATTACTTAATGTAATGATAGTAGTAGTACTACTACTACTACTACTAATAAAATTATTATTTAAACATTATTTTTTAAGGAATAATCACACAATTTTTTTCCCATGTTTTAATTTTAACCATAAACCTGTGTTGTGCATCACTTTGTTTGCCAAAAACGGAAGGGTTTGATTAATTTTCATTTGATTAAAAGATAAATTAATGTTTTATGCCTTCTAGAAAACAACCTTTTTTAATAACAGATGCCGTCGGTTCAGGATTGATATAATGGATAAATAATGATGTGTTATTAAATGTTAAATGAATATGTGTTTATAGGAAGGAATTTTAATTTTCTTTTATTGTCTTTTTTTAAAATTGTTATTAGTTATTAATTCATATGTATTCATTTAGCAAAAATTAGTAAATGCACTCTCAGAAAAAAAGGTACAAAAGCTGTCACTGGAGCGGTAATTTTTTAAAAGACACACCTTTGTACCTAAACAGTCCATATTGGTACCTTAAAGCTACATATAAGTACCTAAACAGTCCATATTGGTACCTTAAAGCTACATATAAGTACCTAAACAGTCCATATTGGTACCTTAAAGCTACATATAAGGCGGTACCTTTTCAAAAGGCACACCTTTGTACCTAAAGAGTCCATATTGGTACCTTAAAGATACATATAAGTACCTAAACTGTCCGTATTGGTACCTTAAAGCTACATATAAGTACCTAAACTGTCCGTATTGGTACCTTAAAGATACATATAAGTACCTAAACAGTCCGTATTGGTACCTTAAAGGTACATATAAGTACCTAAACAGTCCATATTGGTACCTTAAAGCTACATATAAGTACCTAAACAGTCCATATTGGTACCTTAAAGCTACATATAAGTACCTAAACAGTCCATATTGGTACCTTAAAGCTACATATAAGTACCTAAACAGTCCATATTGGTACCTTAAAGCTACATATAAGTACCTAAACAGTCCATATTGGTACCTTAAAGCTACATATAAGTACCTAAACAGTCCATATTGGTACCTTAAAGCTACATATAAGTACCTAAACAGTCCATATTGGTACCTTAAAGCTACATATAAGTACCTAAACAGTCCATATTGGTACCTTAAAGCTACATATAAGTACCTAAACAGTCCATATTGGTACCTTAAAGCTACATATAAGTACCTAAACAGTCCATATTGGTACCTTAAAGCTACATATAAGTACCTAAACAGTCCATATTGGTACCTTAAAGCTACATATAAGTACCTAAACAGTCCATATTGGTACCTTAAAGCTACATATAAGTACCTAAACAGTCCATATTGGTACCTTAAAGCTACATATAAGTACCTAAACAGTCCATATTGGTACCTTAAAGCTACATATAAGTACCTAAACAGTCCATATTGGTACCTTAAAGCTACATATAAGTACCTAAACAGTCCATATTGGTACCTTAAAGCTACATATAAGTACCTAAACAGTCCATATTGGTACCTTAAAGCTACATATAAGTACCTAAACAGTCCATATTGGTACCTTAAAGCTACATATAAGTACCTAAACAGTCCATATTGGTACCTTAAAGCTACATATAAGTACCTAAACAGTCCATATTGGTACCTTAAAGCTACATATAAGTACCTAAACAGTCCATATTGGTACCTTAAAGCTACATATAAGTACCTAAACAGTCCATATTGGTACCTTAAAGCTACATATAAGTACCTAAACAGTCCATATTGGTACCTTAAAGCTACATATAAGTACCTAAACAGTCCATATTGGTACCTTAAAGCTACATATAAGTACCTAAACAGTCCATATTGGTACCTTAAAGCTACATATAAGTACCTAAACAGTCCATATTGGTACCTTAAAGCTACATATAAGTACCTAAACAGTCCATATTGGTACCTTAAAGCTACATATAAGTACCTAAACAGTCCATATTGGTACCTTAAAGCTACATATAAGTACCTAAACAGTCCATATTGGTACCTTAAAGCTACATATAAGTACCTAAACAGTCCATATTGGTACCTTAAAGCTACATATAAGTACCTAAACAGTCCATATTGGTACCTTAAAGCTACATATAAGTACCTAAACAGTCCATATTGGTACCTTAAAGCTACATATAAGTACCTAAACAGTCCATATTGGTACCTTAAAGATACATATAAGTACCTAAACAGTCCGTATTGGCACCTCAAAGATACATATAAGTACCTAAACGGTCCATATTGGTACCTTAAAGGTACATATAAGTACTTAAACAGTCCGTATTGGTACCTTAAAGGTACATATAAGTACCTAAAAGGTACAAAAGTGTACCTTTTGAAAAGGTACTGC